GACAACATTTGAAATATATCAATGGTTTCTCGACAACTAATTATGATCTGCCATTCCAAAAAAGAAGAAAGTCATCATGGGCTCTAGGATGATGTCTCTCTTGCTCATCAATTCTAGATTGGAATTTTTTCACCAACTGTTTGCACAAAAATGCGTCCTTTGCCCTTTCTCCAGACGCTTTCCAGTCAATATACTCACATTAGTCCTACTAATTTGTAATACCCTTTTTGAGCATCTGCTTCTTTACCTTTTCACTGCTTACCTCCTCCATCTCTCTTTTTTTCCTTACTCCACAAGGATGGCACTCCTCTCTCATACTCTCTCCCCCAGGTACCTAAATATATTGTTATTTAATTTCTCACCATTCAGATTATCTTATTCACTCTCAACTTTTTTCCTCTCTCTGCATGCCTCTTAATTGCTTTGAAATTTCTTATATAAATACGACAGAACTGGAGGCTGAGGGGGGAAGCCCTAAAAAGTTGCTTAGTAAGTATATAAGTGCCCAAAACTTCATTAATGCCTAATTATGGACTGATCTGCATCCAACTACCTCGCAGAATGACACAGGTAGCTAAAATTATTGCACTAAAAAGGCAAAGAGAAGGTACACAACACATTTCCCGATAATCTCAGCACTGCCCACGGGGGGTGGTCTGATGACCCCTCCTCTGGAAGGCTACCTGACAGTTTAGTTTCATTTTGGATGACGAGTTTGGGCATCATTTCTCTTGTTTAATGCATACTTCCTCCTAGCATTCTAGCCTTTTAACGATTTCAGCTGCTACAGAACAGAATATCAGCTCTCTGCCAATTCTGAATTTGCCCTGAAGTGGTCAGGGAGTTGGACGAGATGATTGATGCAAGTCCCTTCCAAATGAAATAGTCTATTATATTTTCCTCTCTGCTCAGCACAATCTGAACATCCTTCAAAAAAAAAAAAACAACAAAAAACAAAAGCCAAGCAAACACCACCCTAAAACAAAACCCCACACAACACAGTGTCATGAGGAGATTCAACCTGAGATACTGGAAGAAGAACTAGCCTGAAGGTAATGGTTACTTTTTTTGAGAGAGAGGACAACGGAGGGAAGATGATTTACACTTACTCCAAAACCGATTTCTAGGATGTACTTCATTTAAGAAACAGATACTTGAACAAGCCACTGGAAAATAGGTCAAGATCTGAATTCATTGCATCCAGCTGCTGTTACCACACTGTCTGTGACAGACACTAAGCAACTGAGCTGCAAAGAGAGCTGCCTTCCACTTACCACCAGGCAAGAACACTGCCCAGGAAGTTTCAACAGAGCAGATGAGAAGCTGCACATTTACGTCCCTATCTTACCTTGCGGTAGCTCATAGTTATGTTTGTGTATTTAGATACCACATCTCACTTCCCCAACTGTAAAAACAGGTATAATAGATCTTCCCTACTTCACAGAAACGTTTAAGAATAGGTATGTTAGACTAGGTATGAAGTGGATGCTACAGGTTGTATAAATAAAACATTAATCAATAAAACTGAAATTTAAGGGAAGGAGAGGGGATGGAGCTGAAAGGCCCCCTCAACTCCCTTAAATACAGCTCTTAGCCCACATTTTCCCAGTGTCCTGACGCTCTGCTACACTGCAATTGTGATTCCTCTGCCAAAGCCTCACTACCATTCAACACTGCCTCTATAAAGGTCCTTCTTCCAAATCGTACTCTCCCCCACTGAATATTTCTGCAAGAACACATCCTGCTCTTTCCCTGATCAACATTCTGGTCTGTTCCTGGCTCTCTGTGCTCCTCAGCCTGGAGATGAGCCATGAAGAAGAGGGTACACGTCTGGGTTATGAGAACTGTCCACATGAAAGTCTTATTCAGCCAAACGAAACAATCCCAGAACAGGAAACTGCCACAAAAATAAATATAGCCCAGGAAGGAGACCCCACCAACCTGCTTAGCAGGGTCCTACCACAAAAGAGCTTTTATACAACAGGTGCATATAATCCATATGAGTGTACAGTTCACTGATACTCCAGGCCATATGTCAGGGAAAAATTAAAAAAAAAATAAAAAATCAAACAGTGAGGCTACCAGACTACCACTCTTTTTACCCTGGTCATCCATTTTCCCATTTCTCCTCCTAGTTCCCCATTCTCTATAGTTCCTCCTACTTATTCTTTTTCTGCTCTCTTCTGAGCAATCCAGGATAGTTTCACCTCTTCGTTCCTCTCAGCCTGCCTTCATCTTGTATGTCTGAACCACATACAACTTTTATAAGCTGAGAACATTTCCTTGCAGAAAAATTAATAAGATATGTCACAGAATAAGTAAGTTTCCTGTATAGTTTTGTATCTATTAGAGAAAAAAAATAATGAAAATTTGTATTAACCAACTCTACTTAATAGATGCTGGCATTTTACTATTAAATGCTTCACAAAAACTTCCTAACAAGCACTCAGTCATTCATTTTTCATATATCCACTTGGTGTTATAGCTTATTTTTAAAAAACTAGTTTGATCTCTACTATCAAGACAACTTCTGCCTCTCCAATAGTGAATCTGGGAACACAGCTTTGCCAATAAATCCCCAAAGACCACGTACCTCCTTGAGGTACAGTACAACTGACACAACAAGCTGCCTAAAAACCCTCATGTTCTTGACCTGCTACACATTTTTTTCAGTTTCTTTACTCACAAGACTCAGCACATGCCATTCTTGGGAGCCTAAATGTAAAGTTATATACTCCATACTCTCATTACCTAAAGGGACAGGGCAGCATTACTGCACATTAACTCAGATAAACTGAGATACTGATACATCATGAAGACACTCCAAGCCAGAACCCAGAAAGAAGGAAAAAGAGAAAGGTAAGAACTAGTTGATTTCATAAAGTAATTCAGAAAAGAGGAAAGACAGAGGACATTGCTAAGTTTTGACTGCAACAGAGACGATGCTGCATCACAAGAAACTGGAGAATTAAAATAGTTCTCTCCAGAGATGTATTTTGTTGCAGTTTATCGGAGAGCTTTTGTAATAACGTGCTAGTTTTGGCTGGGGCAAAATTAATTTTCTGCATAGTAGTATGAGCTATATTTTGGATTTGTGCTGGAAACAGTGTTGATTAAATACAGACATGTTTTCCTTACAGCTGATCAGTGCTTACTGCACAGAATTCAAGGCTTTCTCTGCTGCTTCTACAGCTCCACCAGTGAGCACAGCCGAGAGAGGTGACCTCAGCTGACCTAAGGGATATCCCAGACTGTATGACATCATGCTCAGCATATAAAGTGAGGGAAGAAGAAGGAAGAGGGGACATTCTGAGTTTTCTCACTTGTACCCTTCCGATTCTCTCCCCCGTCAGACCGGGGTGGGGGGAGGGAGTGAGAGGCTGCGTGGTGCTTGGTTATAAGGCAAGGGTTAAACCACGACAACAAATTGAGCAGGTACCCTCTCCATCAAAAGATTTAACTGATGGAGAAATGGTATCAGCAAATGCTCTCTCACTAACTTATCCCAGCGCTAAGCAAGTTCATTTTAACAAACCATAAAACAGGTATTCTAAATGTCGAGGTTTGCCATTAAACCAATGTTTTCTTGATCTGGTTTGTTCAAGTAAGAAACAGAAAGAGTCATCAAGAAGAAAAATGGTCACAATCAGACGGACAGTTAGTTAAGGAATCAAACAGCAGACACAAAAGTGTTGTTAGCCCAAATTCATGGGTCGAGGACTATCTTGATACTTAAGTGCATATTCATGAAGAAGAAAAGGTACGTCGCAAAAACCAAAATATAGTGAACCAGCATGCTTATAGCAGCGCTCGTGGGGGAGGAAGAAAGTAGAAATACAAATGAATTTAAAAGGGAGGCAATCGTTTATGAGCAGCCTTATCACTGTACGCTGCCAGACACAAAGGTAAAGCGGAAGGATGAAAGGTACCCTCTGCCTTGGTTTCAGCACATCCCCCCACGTTTCTATAGTTACGATCAGCAACAGGGCAGGCACAACATTTGCAATGGCGATACCCCCCTAAAGGCAACCCAGCTGCCCACGGGAACACTGGCAATCCCTGAGTCTCAAACCCTAAATCCCTCGCACCCATCCATCCATCTTTCCATCCATCCATCCATCCATCCGCAGGCTCAGCCCCTTCACGCGGGCAGCTCCGGCGAGGAACAAGCTCACGCCTGCGGAGCAGAGGACCCATCCAGGCACCCCCCGCCATTCCCGGCCCGGAGCGCCTCCATATCCTGGGTGGCCTCGACCCCGGGAAAGCTTCGCGAAGCCCCCCGGCCCCCCCTCGCGGGCAGGGCCCCCTCGCCGGAGCAGTAGCGCCGGGGGCGGGCGCGGCCTCGCCCGCGGGAGGGGCGGGACGGGCCCCCTCCCCCCGCCCGCATCCTGAGGGGAGACGCCCCCCGCCCGCCGGCCCCGCGTCCCGCCTCACCCCGCCGGAGAAGCCGCCGCCGCCACCGCGCGGCGCGGGGGGCTTGTCCCGCCGACCCTCGCTCTCCTCCGCGCCGCTGTACTCGATCTCGCCCTCCTCGGCGGCGGCGCTGGGCTTCAGCCGCTTGGCCTGGCTCTCGTAGGCGCCGTCCTCCTCCTCCTCCTCTTCCTCCTCGTACCGCTCCCCGGACGACGGCGACGACATGGCCGCGGGAGGGGAGGGAAGAGAAGGGAAGGGGCGGCGGGCGGTGAGGGAGACGCGGGAGCAGGGACAGAGCCGGCGGCACCGCCGACCCCGAGCGATGCTCTGCGCCCCGGCCCCACACACGGCCCGCCCCGCGCCGGGCCCCGCCTCCCGCCCGCCACCGGTGCCGCGATTGGCTCCCAGCCGGGGAGGGAGCGAGCGCGCCGCGGCGATAGGCCAGAGGGAATGTCCATCAGGAGCCAGAGCGGCGGCGATTGGGCGGGGAGCGAGCCCGTCAGCGCGCGGTGAGCCGGCCCCGACCCCGCCCCCCGCGGTGCCTCAGGGTCGGGCGGGGGAAGGCGGCGGCAGCGGGGACGGCCGGAGGGGCCCCGGACGCCCGCACAGTGCCCCCGGATCGGCGGCCTTTTCCTTGCCCACCGCCGCCTCTTGCAGGCCCCGCCGCCTTTGTCTGCTTCCCGGAGCCGCCGAGCTGAATGGGCGGCGGAGGACGCGGGCCCCGGCGCGGCCGGTGTGTCCCGGCTGCGAGGGCCACGGCAGCCACGAGTTGCCAAGGTCACGGAGGCTTCGGGGAGCCGTGAGGCCGCTGCTGAGCACCCACACCTGGCCCTCGGCCCCTTGCAAGAAGTTCAAGTGGGCCGATGGGGTCCAGTGTCCACCAGTGAGAAAGAGCAGCGCACTTTGTGCGATCCCTGCGAGCCCGGTGATTAGAGCTGCTTGCGCACCTCGCACTGTGCTGCACGCAGGTCTGCTCAGGTTCCTTCTTCAGGGCGATGTTGCCGAAGGTGGCTCTGGGAGCCCATTCTCTGCCTGTGTGCAGAGAATCATACAACTATCCATCAGCCCAGGCTAGAAGGGAGCTGGAAAAATCATTGGTCCAACTTTTATGGGAGGGAGCCTAGATGAGGTTATCTAGCACCCTGTCCAGTAGCAGCATGGAAACCTCCCAGGACAGGGACTCTACCATCACATCCCTGGGTTCCAGTCACTGGTTGTTCTCACTGTAAAAAAGTTCATGTTGCTCCTTGTCTTCTTCATGTGGCTCTTTGTGAAGAGAGATTGAGATATATTGAGGTATATTGAGATTAGCCCTCCGGCCCCAAGCCTTCTCTCCTCCAGAGAGATGAGACCTAACTCCTTCAGTCTTTCCTCATAGGGCACGTTGTCCTCACCACCCAGTTTAGTGTCATCAGTAAACTTGATGAAGGTGCTTTCAGCCTCCATCATCCAAATCATTGAGAAGATGGACAGCATGCAGCCCAGTGTCAATCCGGGAGGGGGGCACTTGTGAGAGGTTGCCAACCCAAGTTAAAAACATTAATCACCACCCTCTGAGTGCAGCCTGTTAGCCAATTTTCTACCCATCTTGCAGACCACCTATCCAATCTGTGTCTTGCCAGTTTGTCCAGGAGAAGACTTCCTTGTGAATGGAGGCATGGCAAGAAGACTCCCAATGTTATAAATGGCTTACAGGACTTTTTAGCTGAATTAGTTTCTGCAGCTGTGACTGCCAAACCGAGATGGATGTGAAGTGAAACCTTGCTTGAGGTAGATCACTGGAGAATGGATATATGATTGCTTTTTCACTTGAGCAGCCAAATAGGAGGGAGGGAAATGATTCAGAAGACAGCCAAAGTAAATGCTATTATTTTATTCTTCTTTTGGTGGGGGGAGAAAAACCAAAAACCCCATACCTATCAAATAAAACATGTTGTTCAATCTGAAATGGTACTTGTGGGCGTTGAAAGCTAGAAAAGAAAGCAGATAATGCGTTGTTTACACATTTTCTGTTATCCTGAAACCCAGTAGTATAGGCACTCCTCCAAGAAGTAGGAGGAGGTTCAGTTTCCCATTCTGCCTGGCATGATTTGAATCTGCATCTCTCAGCTCATCTAATCACCTTATCTTCAAGCACATACACTTGATTTAACTGAACTTGCTGTGTTTCTCACCTTCTCATTTTCTCTTTGGTCTTTGTTTCTTAGTTTATGTTTTTCTTTCAGTATTTCTTATACTTGTACCTATTTTTTAACAAAGAACATTGCAACTTTGAGAGCATACAGTCCACAGGGTTGAAGCTGTGCAAACATCTGTTGTAGGTTGAAACAGTCAATGAGGAACATGCCATCTATGAACATTAAAGCACTTATTTCCAAATACACTACTGATATTTCTGCTTACTTGCCAGATGAAGTTTCTAGTAAATTAGTTTTATGTGGTAGAGCTCTGGGATTTTAGCAGACATTTACACCATAACATTGCAAAAAGTAACAGCCTGAGAAATCACAGAATGTACCAGAGTCAGAAAATGGCATTGAAATGCTGCAATAATTAGATTTTCTTTAATAATTTCCTCCATGTACTTAGAAGTACTTTTCTGAAAATGGAGAAATGACACCAGGCCCTGCCATGTTCTCCATAAAGGTTTGGAACGAGATGATCTTTAAGGTCCCTTCCAACCCAAAACCATCCTGTGTGATCCTGTGACGTACTGTTTAACCAAATTCTTATTTACTGAGTGTTCCAAGAAACAGCAGAGTTTCAGGATGCCTCTGTGCAGTATATGGGTTCTAGCGCCACTGGGTAGCAGACCCTGCTTTGCTGACTTAGTACAGTATTTAATTATTCCACTGTGGAGATGTTAAGATGTTTTACTTTTTTAACTTGTGACATTGAGGCTTCCTCACTCACTACTTTGAGCATCCTTGGAGCAGTCCTTTTTTCTGCCTGTGCCTCGTGGGTAGGAAAGGAGGGAGGGAATATGGAAATACACTCCAATTATGTAAGTTTGTAACTGAGCATCTGACTCAGCAGACAGATTTCACTGTTATGTTGCTCGTCAGACCTGCTGCTTTTGTATAAAAGAGAGAGAGAGAAGAAAGATGCTAATGCTGCCTGAAAGAGTTCTTTTCATACAATTTTTGTTACCTGGAGGTGATAAACAGAAGTCATGGTTTCAGTCCGCTACCCTCCAATAAGAACAGCAATTAGTGTTATTTGCTTACCACTGTGCAGTCGAGTATAACCACATAATTACAGAAAGAGCAGAACAATGATATGAAGAAAAATCCCCAAACCCTGCAGAAATTTAAATTGCATAATTACACTCATAGTTTGGAATTACATGTTGTTACCAGTACAATTTTCTCTCCTCTTCCTTTTGTGTCCTGCCTTTCTTACATCCTTTACTGTAATTTACATTACATTAAGCTATTAGCTCACTGTAGCAAGGAATGTGTCCTACAATGCTAAAGCATTACACTTTCAGGGGTTTTGTTCCTTCTTGGGAGTTTAGTCTCAGCAGTTTAAGAAATGAGTGCTCTGACCACCCTCCAGCTGGAAGTTGCCTTTGCCTCAGTTGCAGAGGGATGGTGAAAACACCAATATACCTGGGCAAACCAAACTGGGAATTTCTTCTCAGTTTTAATTATTTTATTGTTTTCTTTCTGATTTGTCCGTGCTCTCCTCTGGGCCGGACAGCGCTTGCTTCTCCTTGCTGCTTGCTACTCTTTTCAATCCACCAGCAGCCTAGAGACCCCTGTGTCTGGGTACTCATTGTAAGACTTCTGAAACCAAAGCTTGGTAGTACTAAGCATGTGATACACTAGTTGTTGTCAAGAGAAACTGTGACTGCTCAGCATATTTGACACTGGCTTGAATACCTAAATTGGTGTGTGCTTGGGTTGATAAACAGCTGTGGTAGAGGTCAGATCCACTGACCAGTAAGGACTTACATTGCCTTACATGGCAGAATCACCAAGCCTTGCATTGTTGCCAGCACTTCCAAAAGGATCACAAATACTGGGATATTTATTGTTTCTTAAGGCATCAGACTCCAAATAACTCCAAGTTTTAGTTCTCTAAGTAAACTTAGAGAAGTTTATCTCTGTCTAATGAGTACTTCTGAAAAAAAAAAATTAATTCCTTTGATTGCACCTGAAAAGCATGATTTTTAAATGCTTCCATGCCAGGGGCAACCCAGCAGTAGTCAGTTCAAGTACACAATCCATAAAATCACAAAAGCAGAGCTCAGGTTTTCTTTTGGATCACCTGACACAAAGTTTTCAGATGTTTTTGTTCATTACCACTATGTTTCTGTCTATATATAGAGTCATTGCGCACACAGATGCACACATACACAAGGAGCTTAAAGTGATGACACTGCTTTCTCTTCAGACAATGTAATACAGGTAAGTTACTTAAACCAGTTGCTTACCATCAGTCCCTGTTTTTAGCTCATCTTCTTACACGTGAGCTGGCAACCTCAGAATTGGTTTTCAGAACCAAGCGTAAAATAAAATTGCATTATCTGTGAAATCAGGCCTTAAGCATTTCAAATGGTTCCTTGAAAAGTGTGTGGCCAGAACACATCTGGCCAAAATCTGTCTACATATCAGTCTTCTACCCCTGCAGCAGACTGCAGCAGCTGCTCGCTCACATGGCAGTGATGCACTTCCCTACAGCAGTGAAAAATACTCAAAAGAAAACAAGTCAGCTTTACCAGCGAAGAGCTGAGGAGCTCTGGGCTCCCTGTCTGAGTGGGAGGAAAGCAAAAACTGAGCTACCTAGGCACAGCCTGCTCAGTACACCAAGTGAGGCTGAGGCCCCATGAGCAAATGAATCAATGACTGTAAAATAAAAGTACTTATCACAACAAGTTAGGCATGAGGGGACAAAATCAGCTTGCATTTGAAACTTTCATCTTGGCATTTTCCATTATGTATGTTTTTGACTTTGCATGCTTTATTCTTTTTCTTTGTTATATGCAGCTTGTGTGATTACCCTCTGTTAAAAGGATAAAAAGGCAACCTGACAGGTCATCCTGTGGGATCTTTCAGACTTGAATACAGCAGAGATACACCAGCAGACAAGAGCCACTACACTTGTTTGCACTGTTCAGCCTCAGGAAAGATAAAAGTCCCAGTGTCACGGCTCTTCCCCAGGTATAGGGCCCCTATGTGGGTGGTGGTTTTTTACCTTTATGGTTTGTTTGGTTACCAGCATTGGGTGGACAGTGTAACGTGTCTGTCTAGCCAGTACTTCCTCTCTCTGGTTCAGATCACTTTTTTCTGCATAAATAGTAGACACCATTTGTTCTTTAAGACACTGTAACAGAATATTCACATCCCCATCGAGGGATGGCTTTGCTTCTTTGTGGCTGTAGCATTAAATAACTGCAGTTCCAAAATTTCTTCCTTTTGCTGGCAGGTTGCTGGATTGTTGGCATGTCCCGGAGACGTGGATGTGCTACACACATTGGCTGTGCCCTGTGCGTAGTCAAGTGCTCTGAAAGAAACCCAGGCAACTTCCTTGTCCTGCCTGGCTCAGGAAATGTGGACTCAGAATAATGAGGAGTGAGCAGGACACTGGGGTGTGTGGAGAGAAAAGAGGGCTGACCAACATGGCCTGCAAAGGTAAGAGGCCCTGGCTACCTGTCAGTGTAATGCTCCAATCCTGGGGCAGCCTGTCCTGCTGAGGAGGTCGAAAGCTTTCCTGTTCTGTGGACACAAATCATGCCCTTAGCCAGGTCTGATCTTTGCTTACAACCTGAACTGCCATCTGTGGGGAAAGTTGTATCCAGATACCAGGACTGTCCTCCCTGTCTTAAAATAGCTGCTCTGTTTTAAAGGCAGAGATCTTGGAAGCATTTTTTTGTTCCTGAGTGTTGCATCCCCAAAGGAGGAATGGCTCACAGTTCTGGATTTATATTAGGCAACACTTCCTAGAAATGATCAGTGCTTAATTTGTGAAGCAGGGGTTGCTTCTCAGAATCACCACTTGGTAAGAACCTGTGAAGAAGAGCTACCAGAAAGGATATGATTTGCTAATATAGTAGTTTAATTGAAGTTCTGTGGTTTGCATTTTGCTCTGATGGTGAAAACTTATATGGAGCATAAGGTTCAGTATCTAGGTGAGAGAATGTCTGAGAGCCAGGTGCTTTCCTATGAGTTATTGTGTTCTATTCCTAACCTTGATCTCCTTTGTCTCTTTCCATTCAAGATGGTGCAGCACCACTGGACTGCTTTGCTTGCTGTGGCAGGAATGCAAACTGGTGATGGATTTTGATCTGACTGGTAAGAAAAAATGTCTAAAGCATGAGACTGGGTGCAGAACAGATGTTTCCCTATCCTCATGCAGGTGGGAGATGCTACAACCCCAGAGCACAAACCAACCTCTTATACATGTCTTTGCTTGGGCAGTGGTTTAATGCACGTTATACAGCACAGATACTTTGTAAGAAAAAAGCAGTTCTGCTTACTAATGTCCTTGTGCTGTATGTGGTACATCAGGACTAGTTCTATTGATTATCATTAAAATGTTGTCTACGCTTATTTTCACCTATTCCAAAGAAGGTTCTGCTGGCTAAAGCCATAAAAAACATTTTGTACCATTTCACCTAGTTAGCTGCAATGACCTTGAGGTAAATCCCTTGTGATTTCCCTACAGCATTACTTTTGCCACCTTCCTGGACTCCCCAAGCATGACACTAGCACAAGGATTTTGACTATAACAAAGCGGGTGAGTTAACCAAGTATTGCTTCACAAGAAAGAAAAGCAAAATAAAATTAAATTAAGTAATTCTCACTTGCACTTTGCCCTAACTGACAGCATCTAAACCTATGACAATGACATGGCTGCTGCTGCTGCTGGCAGCACAGGTGACAACATTGTGTGGGGGTGGAGGAATCGGGCTCAGTGAATGCGTGGTAGGTATCTGTGTGCAGTCAGTTATCTCTTATGCAATTGCAATGCATATTACCACCTGAGCTACTCCATTTTTATTCATTTGTCTGGCACAACCTCCCTGCTTGAGGAAATGCTGTTTATACAGATAAGGTCTATGGAGCTACCCCTCTAGAGCTCCCATGAGTTGACTAGGAAGTTGCACTTGATGAAGCATGTCCTTAGGGTGCCATTGACACTCTTTCTTGGGTGGCACAATTCAGCTTTTCACACTCCACAGGAGCATTCAGGCATTGTCCAGCTGTTGCCACACATTTAGACAGGCTACCTACCATACAGTGATGTATGACAGAGATAAGTCATTTTAATGACATGTGAGAGCAAACTTTGGAGATTTTTTTCATCTTATGATGTCTTTCTGGGAGAAGAGTTGCTGCTGAGAAGAAATCATTGTTATCCCAGCAAGAATACTTACCTAGCACAAACTATTTCTCCAGTAGAGAAAGGTTTTTGTAGCCTCTCCGAATTTTTAATATAGCTGCAGTTTTTGCTTTTAATATAACAAGGCTTCCTAAAGTGCAGGTTCTGAGTCATTGCAAATGTCAAATATAAAATAATTAATAACAAAATTGACTCCCAAATTAACCCAATGAAAAATCTAGTGGTCCAGAAATACTCTCATTAGTCATTCTTTAGACCAGTACTGCCAATCCTAGAAATCAAAAGTCATGAATTACACCTGCTCCCCACCTAAACCGTGGTTTAAAGATCAGAAGTCACATTTTTGTGGTTAAATCAATCTGAACTATTTTGTTCTCCTTGTGGTAACTTGAGACTGTATCTCATCCTTGGATCATGTTTTTAATTATGCTTTAAAGTCCCCATAACAACTGCAGATCTCCTGTTTAAAAAAAGCCAAGATTCTCCTACATCTGAGGCCACTGTGGTTAAAGAAACAAATTTTGTTACTCTGCTAAAAGTGCAGGTGTTGGCCACCATGAATACAGCTGTTTCAAAGACAGATGACATTCTATGGAATCAAGTAATACACTGGACTGATTGTGAAATTTTATCTTCACATACCTTTGATTTACTTTTTTGGTTCTTAGAGCATCTTGACACATAAATACTTTTTTTTTCCCCCTCTGCATTTAGGATTTTGCATCTTAAATATTGTTTCTACTGGTGTGCTTCAGGGACAATTTTAAGTTTTTGGTATGCCACAATCCACCAGGACTAAAAATGCAGCCAAATTTTCTGATACAAAAGCAGAAAACTTAGCCCAAGGGCTTTATAAAAAGGCCATAGGAAATTCCCAGATAAGAAAAAAAAGAAACATCACAACAAGTTTAATGTAGAACAGACACTTTACATGTTCTCATAGTTGAAGCCTGCACAATGGGACAGTTGTGAGTTAAAGGTTTGGCTCTCTAATCATAAAAAGAAATTTAAAAATACAATAGAGAGCCATAAGTCCTTGCAGTGAAGCACTTCCAGATTTCCTGTATCATTTTTCTTCAGGGATTTCCTTGACAAGGTCTATCATCCTGTCTTACCCTGGGATTTCCATGATCTTTAAGCACTATCCTTAGAGACACTACCCATGTAATTTTGGCTACATCCACACTGGGAGGGGAAGAGGGCTTGGGAACACCAAAACCATGTCCTCTTGAATCCCAACCAGGCTGGTGTCAGCTGAAGGCAGGGTACAACAAGCCTGTCCCAGGCTGTAGGGACAGGCAGGCAAGGCAGGTTGAACCCCCCATGCCCAGCATCCATAGGCTCTCTCTGCCTCCACGAGGCTCTGGGGCACCAGAGCAGTCCTGAACTGCCACTTACTGCAACAACAGCATCACCCTTGGCTTTCCAGGGCTATCCCTCCATAAAAAAAGTCACCTAGCTTTAGTTATACCAGTGTTGTTGTTGTTGCCTCATATAGAAACATTGTGGGCATGCCAAAGGGTGCTTTATGCAGCATTGCCTGGGGAGAATGGGGATGCTCATACAACTCCCTGTTGCTTTAGCTCTGTTGGAAAAGCACTGTACTTCAGCAGCAAACCTGTGTAGACACAAAACCTGTGTGTATGCTATGCCTAAATTGGGGAGTAGGGAAATGGATCTGCACATCTACATGTGTGAAGTAAGTTCTTATCACCAGCTGCCTGCAAGCCAAGCTCATCCCCCTCACACATGAAGGCCCCAGTTTTGCCCTGTGGTTTCCACAAACACCCTCCTTCCCTTTGACTCTGTTTCTTGCTGTTGCTCAAACAGGAACTGCTGTGCATTCACAGCCTTTAGCAGGTGATGCTCTAATCTCCCTTTGGCATCTCCCTGCCAGCTGCCAGTGCAGCCATGTATACATCTGAGAGGAAATTTTCTAGGACAGCACCATGAGGCAAAATGCTTTCCCTATTTGTTTTCTCTGTCCTTTCATCTTATCTCCTCCTGCCCTCCTCCCCCAAGCCTTTTTTTATATCCTCCTCCCCTTTTGCTGTACTCTGAGTGCAAAACCAAATTGATACTTGTTCCTGGTGCTGGGACCCTTATGTAGGTCAACCCCTGTGAGTCATGAGTGTGGTCTGCAGTTGACCTGCAGCTGCTTCATGATGCAGAAGGGTAATCGGGCTTATAATTTCTTGTGCCACTTGCCCTTGCCTTTCTTCTTCTACTTCCTTGGCAGATCCAGAAGTGCCATGCCATGCCAGCCCATCTGGCTGTGAGCTGCAGTTCTGTCAGTCCAGTAGCCCAAAGCAACTTACAGGCCTTCCTGTTTGGTGCCTCCTCCACGACAGTGCAGAGCCCTCTCCAGAGATGCAGGTCCTTACAGTAGTTACTTCACCAGCGGAAAAAATATTGAATGAAGCAGAGCTGTCCTACTTGTCATGTTCCTGCTTGACTTGCTGAGGCATTTTTGAAACTCCTCTGAGCCCCGCACCCACTGTTTTGTAGGGTCCTCAGCACTGCGCATCAGTCTCAGTGTGAGCCTCAGTCCCTCTCCCACAAGCTTTCAGTAACAGAAATGGAAAGCAAATCCAAGTCTTCGCCCCGTCAGAAACCGCAGCTGCAAAGCTGTCCTACTGTTGCATAAGCTGCTTTTATTTTTGAACCTTTAGACCTGTAGCACATCCTCTACAAAGGTTAAATTTGAAATTAGCTGCACAAGCGTAGAAAGGAAAGAGGAAAGTCTGTCTCTTGGCATACATTATAGTCCCCAGCCCCCTCCAAAACAACATGGAAGTGTCTCTGGTTCAAGGCAGCCTACACAGCAGCGAGCTGCAGGAGCTGTAAGCTATTATTTTAGTTCCCAAGGAAAGTAATTACTATAGCAACCAACACATCTGAATGGCTCTTTGGCTGCTACCGAGATACAAACAACTTGCGCACAAAGGCACATCAGAAACGTGCTGTGTAAAACGTTCTCGGGGAGCTCTGCTTTCTGCAGAGCTTTATAAAACGTGCATAACAGTCTTCTGAGAAATGACTGCCAGAATAACAGCAAGCAATTGTACCATGCCATGATCCCAAAATAACCTAATCAATGGCTCAGTATATTTGCCCCTGAAGAGATGAAGCAAAAAAACTGCAGGCTCCATTTTAAGCCTGTGTGCCGGGAAGTACCCAGCTGAGCTGAAGATACATTCAATAAGCAGACAGTAAAATGGTGGGGAAACGTCTCCCCTTTTGTTCTCCGTACTGATGCAAACTCCCAGCAGGCTTCAAGTGCCAGCTCATCCCTTGGGCTTATACAGAGTTTGTCAGGAAAAGGGATTTAATTACAGCCTTGTAATGCTGGAGGGTGTAAGAAGTCATGTCTGCATTCTTTTCTGTGTCTGTGCAGCAACCAACCCCCACAGACCCCATCTCCAGCTGCAGTGCTGGGTACATCACTGTTGCTATTACTGAATAAGGAAGCTTCTTGAGCAACAGCAAACTGTAATCATTGGCCATTGCTTAAGTAGTACAGCGTTTGGAGTGTCTCTGTCACCTTCAAATCAAAATGCCACTGGTGTAATAACAGCTCGATAGTTTCTGGTACCTGCCTGCAAAGCAGCACCACTTCATGGTGCTGAGACAGACAGCTTAGATCCCCAAAACGAGATCTGGTCCAAGCAATCTGGCCCAGGAGTATTGTCCGAAATTTCCCCACAGGACACATACACACATGTCACCTGTCTCAAGGGTGGTGAGTAGCATTAACATCACACTCCTGCTCCATTGCACAAGGCAGCTCTGATGAAAATGGCGGTTATGGATCTGGGTAACAGAGATAGATAACAGAGATCTCTGTTACAGAGTTAGATACTGTAAGGGAGCACAACATATCCCTTCCCAAATCTGAACTGCCTTTTAAAATTATCTTTTAATCAGTTGAGTCCTAAAGTCTTGCTCTGGGCCCAGAATAAACTGAAAATTACAGCTGGATTTAACATAAAGACAAAATTAAGGAAGGAAATGTAGTGATGTAATTTATTACAGAAGTGCCTTACAACCAAGAAAAAGGATCTTGGCATAGCAGGTTCTGCACGACAGAGTTTTGGTTGACTGTAGCCTTTTAAGCAAAGTCACTTTATTTTGGATTAAAGAAAAACATCTGAGAAAAGCACAAAAATAAAGAATTCCTAAGAAAATAGCACAAACATATATAAAATCCAAGGACTCACTTCTGTCTTGCAAAATGGTAGCTGCCCTGTAAGCACCAGGAATTTCCAAACTGCCGATCCCAGGGAAGTAAATTCTCCTCTGTAATTTTTCTCATGATAAGTTTGTTTTTTCATAGTAGCTCCCTCTCCAAAAATTTTTTTTAAAATAGCTCCCTCTCAAAAAAAAACCAAACCAAAAACCAACAAAACAGTTCTTTATCACAGTGTGCCTTTTTGAAAGTTCTTTGGTTGGGGAAAGACAGGACCACTCACTCACATGGTGACTTCCCAGTTCGCCTTTGCTATTAAACAGGAATATATCTTGCTTAGTTTAGAGGAGCTGGGACCAGTGGGATGAGGCTTCTGGGCAGCATGTAACCTGCCTTCATGCCACACCTCTGCTATTCCTGCAGGGTCACTGGCTGCAGTAGAGCAGATAAATCCTTGTTCCTCACAAACATTTTGTGGTTTGGGTCGGAAAAGGCTGCTACAGTGCCTTTTCAGTGAGAGCAAGGGAAGATACAGAGTAAGAGAGCTATTGCACTGCCTGGCTGCTCATGCAGAGCTGCACGGCAGAGAAGTGAAACCAAAGTCTCAGAGATGAACAGCAAGCTCTTTTGAACACTCACCAGCTGTGGAAGTGCCCTGCTACCAATGCCAGGTGGGTCCAGGCCCAATACTGCGGTTTTCTTCTGCGAAGAAAGAAGAGAAAAATGCAAGGAGCTTGCATTTGACCATCACTGTAAGCAAATCTCAGTGCCACAGTGAATAAGGCCCAAAGCAAACTCTTCCTTAAAAATAGAAATCCTCAAGGTAATGAAGCAGGACTCTTGGAATACCTTGCTCAGATGCTGAAGCTGACATTGCTTCTTACTGTTTCCTGCAAGATTCAGGCTTGTGCAAGCTGGTTTCTTTTCTAGTTTATCTGCTAGCTTGAAAATTGAGTGGCTAGTTCATGAACAGATTTGTCTGTGGTATTGCTTTTGCACTTGAACAGCCTTAGATGTCACCGGGGCTTGAGTGGTCTTGCATCTGTGAAGGTAGGTGAGAAAATCAGGGTGTCCATGACTATTACATCAGACAAAGAGTTTGATCTGGGCCTTCTCTGCTGCAAATCAGAGAAGTAAATCAAAATGGCAACGCTGTCATGTTAAAAAACCTAACAGGTTAATGAAATCGGGTCTTTGCAAAGCAGAAATGCTTCCTATGTCTGGAGAAGCACGTTAAGGGAGAGGTGTTGAGGGAGTCAAGGTGCTAAGGAGTGAGCTTCTGGGAACACTCTGCATGTGAAAACACTTCATGAATCGGTTATAAATGAGGTTGTCCTCTCTTCCATCCATCAGGAGCCTTCCTCACTCCAAGGTTTGTGCTGCTCCCTGCCGCATCTCAAATGGGAGGTGGTATAGATGAGCAGTAAAAAGCATGTTTACTTGCAATGTTGTTTTTGGATAGAGAACACTGGTTGTGAAGGTGCAGAAGAAAACACAGGAACAGGCATTTGTGTTACACAGCAAATATGAGGCCGTCACCAACAAAGAAGCGTGGGTTTCCAAACCATCTCTGCTCAGCCCTGGGTGGGAGGTTTTGTTTCTGTGTTGGATTGGAATTTGTAGTTTGTCTTGTCAAAGGATGATGTCTGTGTTGGAAATTAAGATTTAGCAACTACTGGTTGATTGACTGTGGCTTTTTGGTGGCAGTTCTAGGAATTATTGATTCTTTGAACAAGTTCTGAAAATGGGCCCTCATAGAAATACAACCATATCAAATTGTAGTGAGATTCTCTAGCCTTGCACTTGAGCCTTGCCAAGAGAGGTCAAAAATATGCACACACATTACTTACATGTTGCCAGGGTTTTTCCTGCAGACTGAAATTGCCTGCAAAGACCGGAGACAGGCAGAGGTCAATATTTCGAAAGACAATGATTTTTAATGGAGTCTGGGTCAGAGCCACAACTTGGAGAATAACACCACCCTGGCCAGCAAATACCCTGAGCCTGATTTACAGCTCCATCAGCAGGCACTGCCTTGCGCCTCTCGTGGAGGGGCTAAGTGGGGGGAGGACAAAGGGAGAAAACAGCATTTTGTCGTGCCACGCTTTGCAAGGGCCGTGCAAGTCGTGTCGGTGTGATGCAAGTGGGGCACAGGAGAGGGTAGCGGCGATGGTCTGTCCCCCGGACTTGCGAGCTAGAGGCTGCACTGCCCGGCTTGGCAGCGCCCGCCTGAGCACCGCAGCCTCGCTCCCTGCTTTCCGCATCCTTGCCGCTCCCCTCGGCCACCTCCCGCCGCCCGGACCCGGCGGCTTCTGCCCCTCGGTGCCAGCCCAGGGAGCCCAGCGCTCCCTGCCCCGGGCGCGGCGCGGCTCCTCCCCGCGCCGGGAGGCGGCCGGGCCGGTGTTCTGGCCGCCCTTTGGAGCCTTGTGCGCTCCCATCCCGGCCGCCATTGTTTCTTCCTCCTCACGAGCGTCCTTCCCGGGCAGCGCTGCGGCTCCCCGGAAGGGTCGGTGGCCGGCTTTTGGGGAGCGATGACAACGGTGCGGAGAGAGGCGTTCGGGCGGATGCCCGCGGAGCAGGGAGGAGGAGAGGTGGAGAAGTTCGTCTTACAGTCGGACAGCGTGAAAGTGGAGATCCTGTCCTTAGGGTGCATCATCGCCTCTCTGGAGACTAAAGACAGGGATGGGAAGTTTTCAGATATTGTCCTGGGATTTGACACTTTGGAAGGTGGGTCTAAATCCGTTTCTTTAAAAAAAAAATAAAATTAATCCCCCACAATCAGGCAATTTAGCAATTTAACCAGCGTTTACAGCGTGATCTGCTTCTAAGGGTCCCCTCCAAATCATGGGCTGAACAGATACACTTCCTGCTGCCTGTCCTGGCGGGATGTGGTGGATGTGGAACTGAGACACTGGTGGCTCCAGCTTGCAGTGTGCCCCTCTGATGGGGCAGCTGTGAGTCACACCTTGACTGCAAGAGCCCTTTTCTGCAAATCTGCAAAGAATACAAGATCCCATCAGGCTGTTTTAGTTAATGGTGAGC